TGTCCCCAGACTTATGTCTAGTGTCCCCAACCCTGTGTCCAGTGTCCCCAGCCTGTGTCTTACGTTCCTGGGACTGTGTCCCATCTCCCTACCCCTGCGTCCAGAGTTCCAAAACCCCGCATCACGCGTCCCATGTCCCACCTCCCGAGCTCCCGACCCCGCGCCCCTCCATCCCGCCGCGTCCCCCGTCGCCTTCCGCCGTTCCGCCGCGCCCCCGCCCCGTCCCTCCCCGGCCCCGCCGCCCCGCCCCGGCCCCCCCGCCGCCGCCGGGACCAGCCTCCAGCGCCGCCCGCCCGGACGCGGCTGCCGCCGGCGGGACGAAGAGCCTGGCCGGTCGCACCATGAGCAACCTCCCCGCCGATCGGGAGGGCGGCCCCGCCGACACCGGCCTGCCCGAGGAGGAGGTACCGGGGGGACACACACACGGGGGGTTTGGGGCGGGGGGGTTGGGGGGGTGGGGGTGGTCCGGCATCTTCATCCCCACCCGCGATCCCCGGGGGCTGCGCTCCGCGGGTGCCCACCTACCCACCCACCCATCCAGGATGGGAGGGGGGGGGGTCTTCGCCGCAGGGGTCTCATCGGCTTCCGCGGCTCCAGGTACGCGGGGCTGCTGCGGGGGGACGGGGATGAGCGGCAGGGAGCGCGTCCCCGCTCCTGGGGACGCCCCCGTCCACCGCCTGCATCCCCCCGGGACTCCCCGCAAACGCCCCTCCGCCTCCCCGGCGGGGACCTGCGGGCACGGGGAGCTCCACTCGAGACACGCAGCTCCGCGGGGGAGTGGGGGGGCAAATCAGGCTCCCCCTGGTCCCGGGGCCGGTGCCTGGTGCTGCCGGTGCCGGTGGGTAATGTGCATCCAGCAGCTACGCGTCCCTTCCCGTGGGTCTCACCCCCAAAGATGTCCGAAACATCTCCCCACGGGAGACCAACCCCACGCTCCGCCACTGTGAGAGCTGGCTTTCTGCGTTCCAGCCGCAAAGTTCCTGGTTTTGCCCGTGACCTTGAGATGGGAATTTGGACTTTGGGAGGGTGAGAACGAGAAAATTCCTATCTGGGATCTCCTCTTCCTTCTCGCCCTCCACCCCGCGGGCTGCTCCGGCAGGTCCCCGACAGCTTGTACTGGGGTCCCTGGTTGATGGCCAGCGCTGGGATCAGCGCAGCTCCATCGCCTGCTGTTGCCTACCTTCATTTGTTTGTTCCAGAGGTGGCTCTGGCCTCAAACTTCCAAAAGTTTCCTAAATAATGGGGAGTTTTTCCACTCGTGGCCTCGCGGGGTGTGTGGGAGATGACGCTGCCGGGTCCCGCGGCTGTGGCTCTGCCGAACGTGGCAGTGGGAGACATCCGTGGAGGCCTGTTGCCTTTCCCAACGGCACGTCATGTGCCCCCCTGGCTGCATCCAGGGGGCCAGGGGCCGGCTGTGGCACTGCTTGCCCTTGGGGAACCCCTGATCTTTCCATGCTGGACGTGGGGAGTCCCTGGAGGGGACGGCTGCGAGGTGCCAGGGTCACCCGCTGTGCCGGGAACACATTAGGAGGGCGATGGCCAAGCCGGGCTCCTCCGGTGCCAGGCAGGTATTTTCCCTGCAGGAGTTTTTTCCCAGCCCGGGCTGGAAGAGCCGGTGCTGTCGAGTATTTGCTTAAGCGCAGGGGAAGGGGGTTGCCCGGCTACTGCGCCGCACCTCTCCCCTCCCAGGGCTTGCCTTCCGGGCTCCTGCCCCCCCAAAAAAGAGTGAGAAGCAGCCCCTGTCCTGGGGAGGTCAGTCAGGGTGCTGCCAAGTGGGAAAAGCGCTCACTTCAGCCCCGCTCCTCCTGCCTGCTCCTGGCACCCCAGGTGGCCTCCCCATCCCTCTCGCCTCCCCCCCCCGGGGTCCCCACAAGGGAGCTGTGAGCCAGGGGGTTCCCCACGGAGGAGTCAGAACAATTTGGGAAGGCGGTCACGTCACTTTGGCGGGCGAGAACGGCATGTAAAAGGCTCGGCGGAGGCCTTATTTGGTAGCGGAGCGGCTGCGGAGAGCCCGGCTCGTGGCCCTCGTTCCCATCCCATGCCAGATCCCTCACCCCGGGGGACCGTGGCCTGGGGAGGGAACCCCAGGGGTGGTATCTCGGGGGGAACGTGCCCAGTGCGTGGATAAAATTTTCCCCTGTGGCCCCTGTGTCTCATCCCTCCGTGCTCCTGCTTCCTTTCCCCCTTGAAGCGTGGGGTCCGGAGGGTTTTGGGAGCCAAGTCGGGGCGGGACAGGGCCGTGTGTGACCCCCCGCCTGATCACGCCGCTCCTCCGCTCTGTTGCAATCCCCCATCTGCTCCCTTGGCTGCTCGCTGCCTTTTCCTCCGCCGCTTCCTCGTTCCAGCCCCAGCAGCTCTGGACTCGCTCTTCCCCAAGGGCTGTTCCTCTCCTCCTGTCCGTGGCCGGACGTTTGTCCGCCCCTCCGGACAAGCGGCTACGGGGTGGCGAGGCCGGGAGGCTGATCCCGGTCCTCCCGCATTCCCCCGGGCGGAGGGAGCCAGCATCCCTCGGCCTCAGCCTTGTTTATGTCGGGGAGTTTTGCGGGCTGAAGGCATGCGTACACACAGCCCGGGAATCTAAACCCAGCCGAGGAAGACGCTCCATTAGCCAAGAGAGTATTTACGCCAGGACTAATCCCGGCGGGGCCGGAATGCACCCCGCCGCGCGGGGGGGGGCAGCACCCCGCTTTGCCGGGAATGGGGTGTGGGGGGAAGCTCTGCTCGCCCTGTTCCCTGGCTCCATGGCAGCCCCGTGCCATCATCGCCCTCCCGCTCCCGCCGGGATCCGGCTGGCCGGCGGTGCCTCTCCGGCGGCGGGCAGTCAAGCGGATAATCGGCTGGTGGAGAATTAAAGCGAGCCCCGCTGGAAGGGGCGGACGGACGGACGGACGGATGGACGGGAGCCGGAGCTGAAGGAGGCGATTAAATGCCTCGTGGATGAATCACCCGGATGCCTCCCGCCTCCCCCCCGGCCCGTTAACGTTTACCGGGGGTGGTTCGGGCAGGGGCAGGGGACCATGACCGTGCTGGTGGGACACCCGGCAATCCCTCGGGATGCCCGGCATCCCTCGGGGCACCACCGTCTGATGGGGGTCTGAGGCAGGGTAATATCTCCCTGGTGCTTCCTTACCTTCAGGAACCTTATCTGTGGCTTAACGTCCAGAGAGGAGGAGGAGGGCTGCCCCATCATGGATCTCTCCATACTGGGGCCATCCTCGATCCATGCTCCTCTCCTCCTTGACCCCAGCCACCTCTTGGCCCAGGCCCTGCCTCTCCTTGCATGTCTCCATCCCTGACCGTCCCAGCAAACCCCCCCTAGACTCTTTCCATCATCCCTTAAACGCCCCAGACAGGATATGGAATTTCAAGGACAACAGAAAGGGATGGTGGCATGCAGAGGTGAGAGGGACGGGCCAGAAGTGGGATGGAGGCAGCTTCTGAGGGAAGGTAGCAGAGATGAAGAGGAGACTTCCTGCAGGGACAGTAAAAGCCAAGAGGGGACAAACTAGGAGCAAGGCGACAGAGGTGGGATCCTGCAGCCCTGGCAAATCTGGGAACTGTGGTGTGGAGCAGCAGGAGCAGAGGAGGACTGTGGAAGGAGTGCTCCTCATGCTGTCCCATAGCTGCCATCCCCATGGAAAGAAATCAAGGTGGTCATCTTTGAGGTGCTGCACCCGTGGCCAGCAGCTTCCCAGAGCAAACAGTGGCGCTTCTGACCTGGAGAAAAACCCTTTGGTTTCACCCCAAATGGTAAGGAGGAGAGATGGAGAAATGCTCTACCAAGAAGAAACTGAAAAATGTTTGTACAGCAGAACTGAAACTCAACAGCTCGGGCTGTCCAAAAAAAAAAGGGGGGGGTGTGTTTGGGCTGCAGGAATCCCATGCTCCAGCGCCCTTCACTAATCCTTGCTTGGGAGCTGTCTCATCCCATGAGACACTTGGGAGCAGGCGCCTCGCCCCATCCGCCTGCCAGAAGGGGTCATTTTTCCCCATGGAAGAGCATACGCTTGACTGCTGGCTGATAAGGCTTTTTTTATTTTCCCACTCCAGAGCAGGATTTTGCCTTGAGAGTGTTTCTGGTAGAGGATGGTGACTGAATCCCTGGGATCTCTTGGCACAGGAAAACCCGGAGCAGCTCCCTGAGAGCCGAAGCTCCCCTTCCATTTAAGGGCAGGAGTAATATTTCCGCTAAAATCCTTCCCTTGGCAAAAGGATATCCGTCCAGCCTGCTGGGATTATCCCTGAGGAAACTCCCTTACTCTGCCAGTCTCACCTGCTTGTTACCCCGGGAAAGGATGCTGTTTGCATAGGACCTGCTCAAACATCCCTGTGGCTCAATATACCCCAGGCCCGTTTTGTGGGGTACAGATGAGGAGCACCCACGTGCTTGTATCCTTCCTTCCTCTCCCAGGCCTTTTGGGGCTGGAAACCAGCTGGGGGATCCTTTGGAGCCCTTCTCCCTCTCGCCGCTGTGTAATTTTACGGATTCAAACTTGGCCGACCCCTGTTTGAACTTCCAAAGAAAACAAATCATTATGGAAGTGAAGCCCTTCTTCTGCGGGGCTGAATTTCGGAGGGTTCCTCGGGGTCTTTTCTCTCTCCCATCTCTCTCCCATGTGGCTTTGGGGATAAATGATCTGGCAGGTTTGGGCTTGTAGGGTTTGGATTTCAGGGATGCTGCAAACTGGCAGCACCCCCTACCCGCCCCCCGGAGCTGTCACCAACACCTCTGGTGTTTCATGGAGCTCCCCAGGGAGAGGAGAAATGGGAAGCCAGCTTGCCAGGATTGCTCCAGGGATCATGGAGACAGGGGACACCATGCAGGGATGCTCACAAACCCAGCTGGGAAGGTGGATGCGTCCGGAGAGCCAATTCCCTGGATAGCAGCCACGCTTAGTTGGACCTGTCTGAAAGGAAATATTTTTTCCCCAAGGAAAGGATAAATTTGCTTTCTTCACACTGAATTTCATGGGCATTGTCTCCATGGGGAGGCAGAGCAGTATTGAATGCCTTGGGATGCTCCATCAGCCTCTCGTCTCAGGATACAGCAAAAATCTGGCAGAGGTCCCCCAAGGTGCTTTGGGGGGGCTTCCAGCCCACTCTGGATGGCTCCACTGGAGGGGACAGGGTACCAGGCTGTGCCTGCGTGCAGCCCTGGCTCAGGAAGGGGTGAGGACACCCCTGTGCTGATCCCATCCGGTCTGGATGCTGGTACCTGCAGGAATGATGATGATAATGGTGATGATAATGCTGGTACCCAGGATGGGTATCACCAGGGCTGTTGGCACAAGGGCTATATGCAAACAGCTCGAGTACCTTTTGTTATTTAACAGATACAGGTCAGCCAGAGGTTTTGTTCCACAAAGCAGGAATGTTTGCTGCTCCCAGGCTGGGAGATGGGGGAGATAGCTTATCTGCAAGAGAAAGAAGAAATGTCAGCAGAAGAATAGGCCTGGGCTGGCTGTTTCTGGCAGTTTCCCAGGTCTCTTTCCCAGGGAATGGGCCAGGCAGGGTGCCTGGCCAAGAAAATAAATTAAAATAAATCAAAGTTTTCCTCTCCTCCAGCCCAAAGTGTTCGGATGAGATTTTGCGGATGAGGAGGGGGGAAACTGAGAGGAGATCCAGTTCCCCACATTGCTCCACCAGTTATGAGCTGGTTGTAAAGCAAAACCATCCCAGCACAGGGTTTGCCCATCCCTGGGGAGCCCCACATCCTGCCTCAGGGTTGGTGGGAGCAGGATTTCTGCCAAACACACCAGCTCTGAGGATGCTGCACCACCACAAACATTAGATCCACTGAAAAAGGGTTAAACCCCCTTAAAATGTGACTTTTACAAACCAGGGACAAGCTGCTTAAACCCAGCCCCCTCCAAACCAGGGCCAGTCCTCCAGGAAGAAGAGTTGGGATTTGCTTCTCTAAGTCCTTAATGAGCTGCTGCAATTAAAGTGAGACAATAGGCATTGTCTGCAGAGTCCGGGATCTGCTGGGGATGCCGGGACAGATCCTTTTTGCCAGACTGAGGGTAGGAAGGTGCTGGGATGCTGGAAGCCTTTTCAGCCCAGAGAGCGTTCTGTGGGGTGAGGACAGGTCTCTGTTACCTTTCCATGGTGCCTTAGCAGCTTCCTCTGTGGCTACCTGAAGGATTGGGCACATTCCTCCCAAAAATTCTGCATCACTCAATTGTGGCTTAAGGCTTTTGGCTGCTCAGGAGGTTCCCTTCGGGCTGGCATTGTCCCTCTGGCTGCAGGAAGCCAAGGTAGGGATGAAGAGAATCCCCAGGAACCTCCTTTCTTCTTTTCCAGGTGAGGACACTCTTTGTCAGCGGGTTGCCTCTGGACATTAAGCCCCGGGAACTTTACCTGCTCTTCAGACCCTTTAAGGTACCAAACTGGGAAGGGAAAGGGGGGCTGGAAGTGTGGGGCTGACCCCTGCCCCAGCCCCATGGCTCCAAACAACTTACTGGGATCTGGGAGCCCGCTGGTTCCTCCCCCATAATCTAATTCAGTCAGTTTATTCAGTTATTATTATTTAGTTGTGAGGCTCTCCACCAAACACCCTTTTTTATCCTTTCCTTGCAGGGGTACGAGGGGTCTCTCATCAAACTCACCTCCAAGCAGGTAGGAGCCATTCCCTGGCACCACCAGTCCCTGGGGTGAGGGGGGTCCCCTCTGCTCCCCACCTGACTGAGGGCTCCTCTCCTTCCTCCACAGCCCGTGGGCTTCGTCAGCTTTGACAGCCGCTCCGAGGCAGAGGCGGCGAAGAACGCACTGAACGTGAGTGTGCCCGGCCTGGCTGCTCCATTTTCCCATTTTCCCCCTTGTTTTCCTGTCTCCAGATACTACCTGAATTCCTCCACGCTGGGGATGTGCAGCTCCCATGCCAGCCGGACCCATAGCATCCCCCTCCCTCCAGACAATCCCATCGTTGTTTCTCACATCCGCATCCTCCCTCCCAGGGGGCTGCATCCCTCTCACCTTTCTCAGGGCCATTCAGGAGGGCTTGAACCCTCAGGATTCGAGCCTTAGATACAAACACAAGCGAGAGGCACCATTCCCAGCCTCTCCTGTTTGTTCAGCAGGAAAAATCCCAGCAAAATCTGCAAAAGAAAAGCAAATATCACTTTCTTTTAGCAGCTCCCTTCTACCTCTGTGGGGTTACCTGGAAATAGTCAGAGGCAGAATCATGTGGAGCTGGTTCTCCCGATTCCTCACCAGTTCTCCGTGGGTTTTGGTTTGGGGTTGTTTTTTTCTTCCCTGTCTTCATTTTCAATGTAAAACTTCTTTTCTTTGGCTCCGCTAATCCCTCTGGATAAGAGCTTGGCCTTGCGGGATGCTGACTGCCAAATATGGTGCCGATGCTAAAGATGCTGGAGGAATGCGAGCTGCCTCGGGGCCCGGCAAATTAGCTCATTTCAAGGCTGGAAGTTGAAAAAACCCATAAATAACGGGGGAAGAGTTATTTTTGCTGCGGGGGCCGGCACGCGGCGGCGCTCGCCCACCCGCCATGCCTTCCCCGCCTCCTCCCTTCCCGCAGGGCATCCGCTTCGACCCCGAGATCCCCCAGACGCTGCGGCTGGAGTTCGCCAAGGCCAACACCAAGATGGCCAAGAGCAAGCTGGTGGGCACCCCAAATCCCAGCACCCCCCTCCCCACCGCCGTACCTCAGTTCATCGCCCGGGAGCCCTGTGAGTACCGGGGCCTGCAGTGCCGGGAGAGTTTGGGGTGGCAGGCACTGGGTGCTGCCCCCATCCTCGGGAAAACGCCTTATTCAGGGAATGTGATGTCATGCTGGGTGCTGGTAGGAGCAGGGATACCGTGGTGGGGCGGGTGGCGATGGGGAATGCCAGGTCCAATGGGAAGCAGCGGCACCTACTTGCTGCCAGGAGTCCCCAGAGGAGGGGACCCCGGGACAGGTGATAGCCAGCCTGGCACAGTGCCTGGGAGTGGGACAAGCCTAAGGTGCTGCTCCTTCGTGCTGGGGAGTTTCCCTGTCACATCTGGGGTCTCAGCAGAGGCCTCAGCAATGTCCTGCTGGGAGTGCTCCATACCTGTTTCTGCCTCTGGAAGAGCTTTTCTCGCGTGGGCACCGGTTCCTCACCTCACTGTTGTGCACAGGCTTGAGCCACATTCTCTCCTCTGCTGGATCTCTGGGATCACTAAACCTTTTGGAGATGATGACCCCAGTTCTATTTTAGCTTTGCGGGTCAGCTCTCGGCGGTGACATCCCTCACTTCTCCGGGGGAAGCTCTTCTCCTGCTTCGGGGGAAAAAGAAGGACATGGCGGGGGTGGCAGCCCTGTGGTCACCGTTTAACTCTCCCTCTTCTTCTCTTGCAGATGAGCTCACAGTGCCTGCACTTTACCCCAGTAGCCCTGAAGTGTGGGGGCCGTACCCTCTGTACCCAGCGGAATTAGCACCTGCTCTACCTCCTCCTGCTTTCACCTATCCCGCTTCGCTGCACGCCCAGGTAATTCCAACCCATCCACCACCACTGCTCACCCTCCCACCCGCCCTGGATCCCCTTCCCCCTCGGTGCCCGCCGCACCACTAACCTCTGCCCGGCTAACAGGCACTCACTCCCCGCCCCCTGAGACCTAGGGACGGCTCCCCGATGGAGCTGAGTGCTGGCAGGGGTCCTGCCTTTCCCCAAACACCTCTCTCTGCCTTCCTACCTTTGCTGCCGCCCGTGGTGGGGCAGGCGGGGAGGGAGGGAGGGATAGATGAGCATGTTCTCCGTGTCTGGACCATTCCCATCACTCGTTGCCATCTGGCTGCCGGTGCGGTGTGAGATGGGGGCTCCAGAGCCCCTGGAGCATCGCCGGGATGTGGTGTGTCGGACATGGGGCGTGAAGCCAAGCAGCTCTGATGGGGAGGAGAGGGAAGCGAAGCACAAATGGAGGATCCATCTTTTATTGACGAGGTGCTGCCTTGTCACAAACACTTTCTGCCGGCTGCCAACGCCGGTGGCCCCCCATGGCAGCACGTGGCTGTTAAAAATTAACCATCCGCCTGGGAGAGGAGCTGGGGAAAGAAGAGAACAAATGGAGATGGAGGAGGAAGAGGATTTCTTTGCAGTGCCAGCCCTGCAACACCATGGGGATGCCAGGAAAAGACCCCTGGCAGGAAGGGGGAATGGGCAGCTGCCTCCCCAGCATCCACACCGGACATCATCCCGGCTTTTGCTCCTTGCTGCTGGCTCCGACTTGGTGACGAGCAGGAGGAAACAAGCACACGGAAACTGACTAGCTGGATAAACTGCTTCCAAAAGGCTTTTGGCCCTGGCCCACCAAGACTGAGCCAGGTTATCCAGAGCCACCATTGCTGGGAGCCAGAGCAGCCAGGGGCTGGTTTGAGTGGGAGGGTGTGGAAAAACGCTCGGCATACAAACCCTGGATGAAACTCCAGCTCTTCGTGCCCTGCTGCTCATAGGAAGAGCAGCAGTAAATATTATTGCAGCTACGTACACGCCTTGTCAAATAACTGCTAACAAGCAGCACCTGCCCTGCTCGGGGAAGCGACAGCGAAGGAAACGGAGGCTAGACAGAAGAAATATTACCTGATGTGCAGTATCATCACAAGGGGAAGCACGGTGGTGGCACCTTTCCCACCACCCCCCTGCAGCTGCCAGTGTTGAAGGTTTGGTGGAGGGCACGGGAGACAGGTGCCACTGTCCAAACTGGAGCTGCTTGGCTGGATCCTGCAGAGACCAGGACCTTGGAATGGGTGGGGGCTGACTTGGTGTTATCAGGCAGAGCACTGAGCACCATGTGCTGGGTTTTGGCGTCTGATGTTTTCCGCCCTGTTTCAAGCAGGCTTTTGAGAAGCTGCGAGGGATGAGATCACTCCTGCTCAGTGGGATTGTGGTGCTGCTATCCCAGCTCCATCCTGCTGGAAGCAGGGATGCTGGGGGCTGTGCTTGGCCCCAGTGTTACTGTCCCAGCCTGAGCTGGGACGGCTGTACTGCTTGTGCTCCGACCTCCCTCCACCCTGTGCCTGGGGAAGGCTGGGAAAGGGGAGCCCAGAGGCAGCTGGATCCTGCCAGGGTGGGAAGTCACCCCCCTCTCACCCCGTGTCTCCTTTGCCTTTGCAGATGCGCTGGCTCCCTCCTTCCGAGGCTGGTTCTCAGGGCTGGAAGTCCCGTCAGTTCTGCTGAATGCCGGGTGAGTGCCACCAATCCCGTCCCATCCTCCTGTGCTGGCTGGCATACACCTCCACCCTCACCCTGGCCTCCTCCCCCCACCCCATGACTCCTGGGGTCTCCAGCAGCTCAGGGTGGGTGGCCAGACTATTTCCAGCAGGCACCCTTAAGTCCAGTTGCCTTCCTTGTCCCCGGGAAGGGGATGTCCCTGCCACCACTCACCCCTACACTTTCCCAAATGTCCCAGGGCAGGATGAAAAAAGCATCCTGCTGGGGAGGGGGTGTAGTGATGGAAAAGAAGGCAGCCCCAACACGACCATCTCATTAAATCTTAAAGAAAACTCTCCTGGCAGCCTGGGGTGGTGGGGCTGCCAAAACAAGAAGCGCAGCCTCAACTGAGCAGCCTGGCTGGAGGGAGGGACCGATCCGATTCCATCTGGGACCTCTTCAGATGGAAAAAGCCTTGCAAGACATGCTCTGCAAATAACTCGGCCTTTTGTGGATAAATAAACAAAGGGGACCCAAGTGGAAGAGGGGAAAGAGGTTCAGTGGACGCTGAGCACTGCTTTACCCCGTGATCCCAGCCCACCCCGACCATCCTGGCTGGTAATCATCCCTGCACGCTGCTGATCCCTGCTGGGAAGCCTCCTGCTTCCATGCCCAAAGCTCTGGTATCGGTTGCCCATGCTCCCATGGTCGCTCATCCAGGGAGGGCAGGAGGCCCAGCCCTGGCTGCAGCTGGACCCAGACTTGGATCCACAAAGAACTTACCGGCTATTTTAGGCCCAGCAGATAAAAATAGGGAGCAGCGAGGCTTTGGGAACCAGTGGTTCTTCCAAAATATGCACCGTGCCAATGTTTCCAGATAAAATGTAAGCAGAGCCATATTTGGGAAGGGGAGGCGAGTGAATCCTTTGGAACAGGTCCACCAGCCCACAGCAACACTGGTAGCCACAGTGGGCAGCGAGGATGGAGGGTTGGGGACCTCCCGGCTCCCTGCCAGGCTCCTCCACCTGAGAAGGGCACAGCTCAGGCAAGGGTTTTGCTGCCAGCCTGGCCCTGTCCTGCACTTGCTGCCTGGAGCCCATCAGGGCAGGGCTGAGGTTAAAACTGTCCCCTTAGGAAGCTCTGGCTCTGACCACTGTGTGAAACCACCTCTCCCCACAGCACAGCGACCTCAGCCCCCAGTGCCAGCGTCCCTCACCCTCCGCTGTGTCCTCCCGCAGGTCTCAGGTGTGTGATGGTGGCCTACAGTCAGTCTTGTGGGTATTAGTGGAGTCTTCCAAGGCGGCTACTGGGGTGACGTGCTCTCCGCCGGACCACAGTGTGCTGGTAAGGCCGGGGTGGGGTCCGGCTGTCCCATGGGCTTGGCAGCTTTGGGGAGGGGGCAGAAGGGTGAGGAAGCCAACGTGATGTCCCCGAGGTGAGCGTAAGCCTGGGGTTGATCCCTGCAGGGTGGCATTGCCGCTCCCGCTGCTGCCCTGCCGGAACCAGGGCCCTGCCATTGCCGCCTTTATCGCTGTTATCTGGGGCGAGGGTTTCCACAGCCAAGGAATGCCTCTCAGCTTTGAATTACCCCCGGTAATCTCATCTCCGTCCTCGCTTCCTGCCTTGGATCAACAGAGACTGAATTCCTCTTAAGTGCAAAATTCAACTTAACTCTCAGCTTCCCAGTTCAAACCCCAGGGGCTTCAGCCACACTGGGAGGAGCAAACTGGGACCAGTGGGGTCCTTTTACACCTGGGATGCCAACAGTTTCTCTGCACAGGCATTTCCCACCTTGCCTTTCCCTGTCCTTAGAGTGAGGTCCAGGCACAGATTTCCAAAACAAGTCTCCCTCTCCCCTAGATTGCTGCACAGGAGCTTCCCCATGAAGGAAGAGAGATGAATCACAGCCCCTTTTTCCTCCGTCACAGCTGCCTTTTTTTTAACACCTCTCTCTGTTGTTACAGGCTTGAAAAAAAAACCTCACACGAGTTTGGATTCCTCCAAGACTTTCCCACAGCCTCTATCACACATCTGCTCTCCTAGAAGAAAAAAAAAGAAAAACATTACCTAGTAATAATATTTTCCTCTTTTACACTGTATATTTGTAAGGAAGAGTGTGTTGCTCCTGAAAGCATGGTTTGACAGGCATTGTTGTAGTGTTTGAACTTTTCAAACAGAATCATACGAAAGCAGACTACAAAAAAAAAAAAAAAAAAAAAAAAAAAAAAAAAAAAAAAAAAAAAAAAAA